AGTTGAGTATGACTTTGATGTGACTTGACATGCGACTTTCATGCCATGCGTCTTTGCTTGGGTAATCTTTCTGTAATATCGGATCCAAATCACATCAATATAGACGAGGATCAGATTTGGAGGTGACTTGCATTAAAGTCTATGGGCACAAGTCGCAGAGAATTCGTCTTGAAGTAGTACAGGAAGCTTTTCTAAAGTCGACTTCAGTAGTGCTAATTAAGACAGCTCTCATTGACTAACATGGGATGTCACATGTCATGCGACTTGGGGTTTCACAAGTTGGATCCCAAGTCACGGCAGTGTGAACAGAGCCTAAAGGCATCTAAATGTATAATAATATTTATAGAATAGTCAGTAAAAGTGTAAACAAATGGCCAGCAAATAAAAAAGTAATGTATTTATAGGTGGAACCAGGGGGCCGAGTCAGCCGTTGGTTTTCTTTTATGTCTTGGATCTTACATAGTTAGTCTGGCTGAAAAAAGACAAAAGTCCATCCATTTCAACCATATAAAAAAAAAAAAAATGTTTTAATCCTATACCAACAGTTGATCCAGAGGAAGGCGAAAAAACCAGCAAAGCATGATCCAATTTGCTCCTACAGGGAAAAAAAAAATTCCTTCCTGATCCCCCGAGAGGCAATCAGATATTCCCTGGATCTTCTTACTATTATTATACAGTATTTATAAAGCGCCAATAGTTCGCTCAGCGCTGTACATTACAAAGGGGGACAGAACATGTGACAGAACAATACCAATACAATGCAAAACATGAGGGGATTGAGGGCCCTGCTCTTTCTATAACTCTCAAATCTGAACCTGTCCACCTTTGTATGCTCCAGGTACAGTAGGAACCCCTCATAGTGGCCACAGGATGTTTGTAGACCTGTGAACTCAGCATAGTGTCACCACTTATACAGATTTAAAGCTGAAGTTTAATCTGCCTATTCCCTTGTTCCTCCTTACCAATGGGCTAATCACATTTCCATTTCAACACTATTTTAGACCGGTGATCATCACTGGGCTACTGTTCTTTTCTATGCAGTACAGCCAGATCATGGGTGAATGTCAGTCTGGATGAGCGGGCGTTCCTATCCAGGCTGTATTTGCAGGCAGGCTGCCATTGGTAATACCCATCTGTAATGCCGAGCCTCCTTGATTAAATCAACTGAAAACCAATGAACGAAAGGGGCAGGCCAGGAAATGAGGCAGGCTCTGACTTGCTGAGGCTTCTAATGCACCCTGTGAGAAGTTCACACATTTGCAAGATAATCCTTTTACATCAAAAACATAATTTATTATAAAGAAAAAAATAAAATACAACCATAACTCATTTACATTTTGATCTTATCTGCCCAATCTGCCTCAATCCATCGGCATCATTTTTTTTAAAAAGTTATGTGCAGTTGATTTTGTAATCTATACTAGACATCCTAATGTTCAGAATATTAGCACTGAAAAGATTCTACTACAGCGACTGCTGATGTTACTGTAATTCAAAGGGATTCTAAGCATTACAGCGCCACACAGTGGCCTACGGTATAATGACCCTGCTGTCCAGGGACTCAGATTTGTAGTGTTTAAAGTAGAACTACAGGCAAAACTCTTTTTTTTTTTTTTCCCCATTTTGGATAGAGTAAGGGAGGGTTATAACCCAGTCAGTTTATTTTTTGCCATCTGTGGGGAGATTTCCTTTCACTTCCTGTCTCATAGCCAAATCAGGAAGTGGGAAAATCTCTGCAAATTAAGGAAATTCCTTGGGGACCCTCAAGTCACCAGAACTAGTGTCTCCATTGGAAGATTTCCTCCTGTTCTGGGGACAACCAAAAATTTGAGGTTTCTTTTACTTTCATTTTTGATGATAATGGTAAACAGGACAAATAGAGAGGGTGAATCTCTCTAACAGGGGCACAGACCGCAATAAAAACCTCACAGGGGTTCTAATCTCGCTCCACTCTGTCCAAAACTTTAAAAAAAAAAAAAAAAAAAAAGTTTCCTTTTGTTTAAGTATTCTTCTTCTTCTTCTTCAAAAAAAAAAAGCCATTGTAAAATAAAGTACGTTATAATTGCTGCGAAAATGCTACTTGCCTGGTAGTTTGAGTACTTTATTAACACCTTCCAGCCCAGCCTATAGCAGCTTGACGGCCGGGTGGGACACTCACCGTTGTGACTGAGCGTCATATGACGTCCTGTCAAAAGCAGCCGTTCACGCGTCAATGGGGCCACGCAGCAGCGCGATCTGTCACTACACCGGCCTGTTGCCAGTGTCATGTGACCGCTGTGACCAATCACAGCAGATCACAAGTCGATTGTATACAATGGATGGTTTCCTGTCATGCCATTCATTGTATACAATTGTGTTGTTAGCTGTGATTGATCAAAGCACTCACATGGTACAGACAGGGCCAATCACAGCCCATCTGTATCATGTGATGAGCTTTTCCCAGTCACAGCTAATCACAACAAAAGACTGCCTGAATCCGTTTCATTCAGTAATAATGATTGCAAATATCAATGAAATACATTGGTATTAGCAATCATGTGTACAAAGAAAAAAAAACAATTCCTGATCACTTGCCCAGAGTAGTTCAATGTTACTATGGTAACACTGTATTGCTTTGGTCACAGTGTGCTGAAAAAAAAAAATTGTAAAAAAAGAAAAGAAAAAGTAATTAATATAAAATAAAAATTAAAAATTTTTTTTTTTTTTCTTTTTTACATACTGTCACCAGTCAGTGTCCCTGATCACTGCCACACCAGTTATATAATCACGCTGTACTGGAATTGTAACAAAAAATTACAACCTTGAAAAAACTCACCATGCCTTTACTAAATACCTTGGACTGTCTATTTTCCAAAAAATTGGTAATTTGGGGGGTATTTGTACTATGCTGATGTTTTTAGGCCTCAAGAAATGAGATTGGCTGTCAGTACATTGATCGATTGTCATATTATTTATTTCAGGTACTTATATAGCGCTGTCAATTTACAAAGCGCTTTACATATATATTGTACATTCACATCAGTCCCTAACCCTCAAGGGGCGAACAATCTAAGGTCCAGAACTTACATTCATACATACACATACTAGGGCCAATTTAGACAGGAGCCAATTCACCTACCAGCATGTCTTTGGAGTGTGGGAGGAAACCGGAGTACCCGCAGGAAACCCACGCAGGCACAGGGAGAACATGCAAACTCCAGGCAGGTGGTGCTGTGGTTGGGATTTGAACCAGCAATCCTAGTACTGCCAGGTGGAAGTGCTAACCATTAAGCCACTGTGCTGCCCTTTTTCATATTCCTGATATGTGCCTGCTGTACCATGTACTTGTATGAAATGGTATCCTTTTCTCTTTGTATTGCTTCCTTTGTGTGAAATCCCTGGTGTTCCTGCAAGTCCCTATGCTTTCCTAATAAAGATTGACCACACTAGACAACTGGGTGTGCTCTCCTGCAGTAATCAGACTTTTCCCTGACAATCCCCTCGCACAGTCATTCACAGGGAAGTTCAGTGTACTGCCGTGTATCCTTCCTCAGTTTTTTATGCTGCTGAGAACAGAGAGAATGTGATCACTTATAAACAAGGGATAAAAGTCCCCAAATTACCCAAAAAATCAGATGTAGCAGAGTACATTTTGACCTAAATTTATGAAGAAATGTTATTAATTTGCAAAATTTTATAACAAAAACAAAGAAAAGAATGAGTTTTTTTTTCAAAAATTTCAGGGTTTTTTTTTTGTTTATTTAGCAAAAAATAAAAAATGCAGTGGTGATTAGATACCATCAAAAGAAAGCTTTATTTTGTGTGAAAAAAAAAAGATAACATTATTTTATAGGTACAGTGTTGCATGACAGCGCAATTGTCATTCAAAGTGCGACAACACTGAAAGCTGAAAATTGGCCTAGGCAGGATGGGGGTAAAACTGCCCGGTATCGAAGTGGTTAATCCTTTGCCCCAGTACAAGTATGCAGCCAGTTAGGTCAGAACCTCAAACATGCATTTTTGTAGGGCTCTGGTGCCCAGTTGCCTGTCCAGCAACCTGATGATGCCCTTGTGTGGCCCTTGGATCCCAGTTTGTAGTGGGAGCACTGATTTGTAAAGGTGTATTAGCAGTGATCTCTAGTAGATCTTCAGTCCCTAACAATTTTCAGCCATACATATTGAACAATATGTAGAAACAGGTGTTTGGCCTGTACTCAGAAAGCTTTCAGGTCCGGTCATCTGTCCATAACCGCCGGAATCGCCAACAGACGTACCTGTTGTCAGCCTGTCATTCATTTGTACAGATGTACCTGTGTCAGCCTGTCATTTGCACAGACGTACCTGTTGTCAGCCTGTCATTCATTTGTACAGATGTACCTGTTGTCAGCCTGTCATTCATTTGTACAGATGTACCTGTTGTCAGCCTGTCATTCATTTGTACCTGTTGTCAGCCTGTCATTCATTTGTACCTGTTGTCAGCCTGTCATTCATTTGTACCTGTTGTCAGCCTGTCATTCATTTGTACAGATGTACCTGTTGTCAGCCTGTCATTCATTTGTACAGATGTACCTGTTGTCAGCCTGTCATTCATTTGTACAGATGTATCTGTTGTCAGCCTGTCATTCGTTTGTACAGGCTTCCCTCCCACAGCTTTTCCCTACAGGTGTAATTCCCACACAAGAATCTGCTGTTTGTTTCCAATTGCCCAAGTGAACAAAGCCTCAACAGTTCTTCAGACTGCCTGTAGATCCATCCCTGATATTAGAGGTGATCTCTGTTCCGCCAAATACAGTTTATTATTGAATAGCAAATTTCACTACACAGGAATTTTTCTAAAATGTATTTCATTTGTTGGGTCACTATTGAAATCAATTCTAGAGAGAGGAACTGTTTTGAAAGCACCAAAACACTAAATATAAAAGACAGATAATTTATTTATATAGAACAGGAGATGACAATTAAAACTTGTCGATGTATCAAAATATAGCAGACATTTGTGAATGAGGACGATTGCTGGGTTCTCACCCTGGCCTCCATTTAATGTTCTTCACACCCTGAAACTGTCTTTTTAGGGAGTTACTGTCTGCCCAGTCAGCATCCAGGTATGAAATATCCTCATCCTCTTCAAGTTTCTGGAACCAAGAGACAAACATTAGTTTGCTGATTAGTGAGTAAAGCCAAAATGCTATTTATCCATGTGTGATATACTGTACACGTTAGGCTGTATACATACTATAATCCATCAGTTTGTACAGTTACCAGCACTATTTCCAGTAGGTAAAGGGGTTAAAGTGGTAGTAAACACTGCAGGTACACTACAGGGAAGCTTACATAATAGGTACAAGAAATATCTCCTAAACTTGCACCGTTTAGGAGATATTCACTTTTTCCGCAGTGACATCACCAGCACATGAGCTCTGTGCTGCGGCTGTGACCCCCCTCTCCTCTGTGCGCATGAGCAGGGGTGACGTCATTGCAGCTCGGCAATTAATGCGGCCGGAGCCCACAAACCCCGAAAGAAGACCAGGTGAAAATGGAAGCCCTGTCAGTGGTGACAGCGTGCCACTGGGGGGCTTAGTTTTAGGGTAAGTCTTTCATAATGTGTTAGCATGCAACACACACTAGCACAATATGTCATTACCTTGCAGGGAGAAGCTATTTATTTTTTACCAGAAGAGTTTATTATTGCTTTAAGGAATAACCTACAATGTCTGACTGCCATGAAGGAGGAATAAATCCTTCTTAAAGTGTTACTAAACCCACAACAGTAAAATCAGTCAGTATATGCAGTAAAGCATGCTTGTTATACTCACTGTGGAACCTAAGGGGTTAATCCTCTGCATTGTGTAAAAAGGCTGTTTGATCCTGTCTTCTCTGCCCCTCCTCTTGTTGAAATGACCACCTGAGAGAGACTGAACCCGTGGTCACGTGCACATGCTCAGTTTGGTGTGTATTGCTAGCGAGGGTTTTTGTTTTGGGAGAGTGCATGTGATCAGCACAGAGCCAATCAGCACTGTCCAGACAGAGGGTCAGAGGTTTCACATCCTCCTAGAGCAGAAAGAAAATTCCTCCTGCAAGTTTTAGCCAGTGCTCTGCTGAAGTCACAATATTGCACTAACTGCTGATGAGAAAAGGTATTTAGCAGTTTATATTTACTAAAATAATTGCATTTCCATGTTCTGTGTACTGTGGGAGATCAGATATAGTGAATGCAGGGGGTTTAGTATCACTTAAATTCTGCAAACTGTAACAATGACATGAAAAGAATAATCAGGATTAAAGTATTGGTTGCTTATGGCCCACATTATAGTGTGCCATACTGTATTAAAATATTGAGATTGTATTAGGAGAGGTATAGACTCCAGAGAGAGAGAGATATCATATTACCCCGGTACAAATCATTAGTTACACCTCATCTGGAATATGCAGTTCAGTTTTGGGCACCAATTCACAAAAAGAACATTGGGGAACTGGAGAAAGTACAGAGAAGGGCAACCAAACTGATAAGAGGCATGGAGGAGATCAGCTATGAGGAAAGATTAGAGGAACTGAATTTATTCTCTCTTGAGAAGATGAGATTAAGGTGGGATATGATCATCCATGTATATATACATCAGTGGTTCATATTGTGAACTCGGTGTAGAGTTATTCACCCTGAGGTCATCACAGAGGACAAGGGGGCACTCTTTACGCTTGGAGGAAAAGAGATTTAATCTCTAAACATGGAAAGGTTTCTTCACAGTGAGAGCTGTGAAAATGTGGAATAGACTCCCTCAAGAGTTGGTTCTGGCCAGCTCAGTGGATTGCTTTAAAAAAGTCCTGGGTTCTTTCTTGGATACACAGAATATAACTGGATACTAACATTTATAGGTAAAGTTGATCCAGGGAATATCCGATTGCCTCTCGGGGGATTAGGAAGGAATTTTTTTCCCTGCAGGAGCAAATTGGATCGTGCTTTGCTGTTTTTTTTTTGCCTTCCTCTGGATCAACTGGTTATAGCATTATAACTTTTTTTTTTTTTTGGTTGAACTGGATGGACTTTTGTCTTTTCTCAGCCAGACTAACTATGTAATTATGTAACATGAATTGTTCAGCGCTGGGATCCTCCCACATCAAACGGCCATACACTGTAAGGCCAAAAGTAAGTGGACACCATATATGATAATCAAAGCTAAATGAGTTTGTTGGACATCCCATTCCAAACCCATAAGCATTAATATATACTGCTTCCACTTTTCTGGGAAGGCTTTCCACAAGATATTGGAGTGTGTCTGTAGACATGTATACCTATTTAGCCTAAAGAGCATTTGTGAGGCCAGGGATGGATGTTGGATAGCTTGCAACTGACCTTCCAATTTTTACTAAATGTGTTCAATAGGGTTGATGTCAGAGCTCTTGAGGTTGGGGTGCAGGCAACTTGAGTTCCTCCACACCAAACTCACCAATCCATGTCTTTGTACACAGGGGCACAGTCATACTGGAATAGAAAAGGACCTTCCCCAAACCACTGCCACAAGGATAAACAAGCATTGTCTAACGTGCCTTTGTATGCTGTGGGATAAACAGTACCCTTAGTAGAAAACACACAAACTCAATATTTTGGAGGTGGGTCCAGAACTTTGTAAAAGTGACAATACAGCGCAGGTATGATGGTTAGGCATCTACAACTTTTGGCCCTATAGGGTAGCACCCTGTACAGAGAAAACTTTGGTAAAGCCTTTGATGAGGTTTACCTTACAGCAGGAGAAATCCAACACAGAGGCTAAAGTGCAAAACCATACGTTTGTAGCACTGTGAGGACAGTGAAACACAGAAAGCTCGGCAGCTTTAGATATTTGCCCAAATTCCACGCAATGGAGTTGAGCTGGAGTTAATGAACACATAGGTAAGGTGGCACATGTATTACCTTGAGGTCCTCCTGTTTCCTGTGGTAATACATCATCATTTTCTTCTGCTCTTCCTCTGAAATGACCGGCTCTCTTGCTGGAGCTCCATGTCCTCTCTAGATGGGTTTAAAACACAAATATATACAGGTAGTGATCAAAAGGTCAAATCAAGAGGCATGTACACTGTCAGCATTCCACAGAATATCATCAACATCATGTACAACCAGACCCACATTCTGGTCTGTCAGTGGAAGAAAATTACTGAAAGAAATGGTTTATAAAATGAATGAATGCTCTGTTAAAAAGTGAACAGCACATAAAAAACAATTGTCTATTGTGGTTCTAAAGTCATTTTTAGACTGTCAATCAGGGTATCCCGACTGCAGCAATTAAAGGGAACCTGTCAGGATAGAAATATGGGAGATGTCAATGCTGACTTGTACAGAGAAAATATGTAAGCTGCTATTGAACAATCCCTTTGATACAAATCAACAATAGCAGCGTCTAAATTTGCATTTTGACAGGTTCCCTTTAAGCTCATCTTAAAAAAAATTTGATGATATTGCCCATAAGTACAAATGCTTCATCCCACTGTGATGAAAATATACTATATGGCCAAAAGTTTGTGGACACCTAACCATCACACCTACTCATGAGGCTAAACGTGTGTGGACACCTCTCTAAATTATTGAGTTCATGTACTTCCTTAGAAGGGTACTGGTAGAGTTACTATACCTTAATAAAGGCCTAAACACGTACCATGTCCACACATCCATTTTTGTTTTATGCCTGTGGCTGCATTTAGTTCCTTAAAATCCCCCCTTCCTTGGTTCCATTCTTCAGGTGGCTCCGTCCCCTTAAAGGGTCCCGCGGAGCAACCCGTTGCATATGGGCTACTGGTTGGCACTGTGGATAAGTCTCCTTAACCTGCCTGGTGGTCTAACTAATCAATATTTTTGAATGTCAAAGAGGTACATTTTTCATGGAACTGTGTTGTTTTATATTGTAGGCCTGTAATTCTCAGGAATAACTCACTTAAATCTTACCAAACAAGAGTCTAGTAAACATCCCGGGTATGATAAAGTTTGAAACACAAAATCATAAATTTTAATATAATAATTATAAAAAATAATAATATAATAATAAATTTAATTCAATAATATAATCAAACCAAAAACACTGAGATTTGAAATAGAGTACCAAGTTCGCACATCACTGAGCAAAGTCGCATTATTGTTTTCAGTGTCTGATGATGAATTTCCCCACGAATCATTATCGCTCAATTCTGCAAGTAGTTCTGATTTACTATCACTGTTTTCTAGCCGGTCTAAAACCGCTTTTGACCTAAAGGGACACTTTTTGATGCCATGGACATTTCTCAAGTTTCCAGGCAGAAAGAACGGTAAAAGTGCAGGCAGGGCACAGGACAAAGCACTCGGGACAAAATTTAGGTGAAATGGTTTGATACAGTAATGGAATCCTAACAGATTACAATGTATTGTGTGTATGTAAAATTTTAATCTCCCGCCGATTCCACCGCCTGTAAGTCCCGATGTTCGCAGGGAATGGAACCCAGAAGACGGATGCTGGCATCGGATGGCAGACATGGCCGGGGGACACAGCGGGAGGACCTCGTGGGATCGTGTGACAAGGTAAGGCTCGAGGGATCGATGCAGTGTAATCCCGAGGGTTGCTTGGGGTTACCGCTTCTGGTACTGAAATTAACCCCGAGCTACACTCGGGATTACCGCCAGGAAGGTTAAGTGCACAGAAATGAACAGCCCCAGAAGCAGATCAGTCCCCTGCTCACCTCCTCCCTGTGCCTGTGCTGTTCCTTCCAAACAGTGAATGTGAAGTGCACATGGTGTACACTTCCCTACTGAGAAGTTCAGGGAAGCGGTGCTCTGCAACCTGAAGCCAGGGGTGGTGAACAAGCAAATTATGTAAGTGCTTGGACACACGGGGGCATGTAATACTGCTCGGTAACAATGTACAGTGGATATAAAACATCTACACACCCCTGTTAAAATGTCAGGTTTCTGTGATGTAAAAAAATGAGACAAAGATAAATCATTTCAGAACTTTTTCCACCTCTAATGTAACCTATAAACTGTACAACTCTGTTGAACAACAAACTGAAATCTTTTAGGTGGAGGAAAGTAAAAATAAAAAACTAAAATTATATGGTTGCATAAGTGTGCACACCCTTAAACTAATACTTTGTTGAAGCACCTTTTAATTCCAGCACTCAGTCTTTTTGGGTATGAGTGTATCAGCATGGTTCATCTTGACTTGGCAATATTTGCCCGCTCTTCCTTGCAAAACCACTCCAAATCTGTCAGATTGTGAGGGGCATCTCCTGTGCACAGCCCTCTGCAGATCACTCCACAAATTTTCAATTTGATTCAGGTCTGGGCTCTGGCTGGGCCATTCTAAAGCTTTAATCATCTTGCTTGTGAAGTCGTTCCTTTGTTGATTTGGATGTATGCTTTGGGTCGTTGTCATGCTGAAGATGCAGTTCCTCTTCATGTTCAGCTTTCTAGCAGAAGCCTGAAGGTTTTGTACAAATATTGACTGGTATTTGGAAGTGTTCATAATTCCCTCTACCTTGACTAAGGCCCCAGTTCCAGATGAAGAAAAACAGCCCCAAACCATGATTCTGCCACCACCATGCTTCACTGTGGGTATGGTGTTCTTTTGGTGATGTTCAGTGTTGTTTTTGCTCCAAACATATCTTTTGAAATTATGGCCAAAAAGTTCAATCTTGGTTTCATCAGGCCATAACACATTTTCCCACATGCTTTTGGGAGACTTCAGATGTGTTTTTTCAAAAATTTAGCCGGGCTTGGATGTTTTTCTTCGGGCTTGGATGTTTTTCTTCAAGGCTTCCATCTTGCCATCTATCCCATAGCCCAGACATTAGAAGAATACGGGAGATTGTTGTCACATGTACCTCACAGCCAGTACTTGCCAGATATTCCTGCAGCTCCTTTAATGTTGCTGTAGGTCTCTTGGTAGCCTCCCAGATCAGTTTTCTTCTTCTGGTCTTTTTATCAATTTTGAAGGGACGTCCAGTTCTTGGTAATGTCACTGTTGGGCCATATTTTCTCCACTTGATGATGACTGTCTTCACTGTGTTCCATGGTATATCTAATGTCTTGGAAATTATTTTGTACCCTTCTCCTAACTGATACCTTTTAGCAATGAGATGCTTTGGAAGCTCTCTGCGGACCATGGCTTTTGCTATAGGATGCGACTAAGAAAATGTCAGGAAAGACCTACTAGAACAGCTGAAATTTATTTGGGGTTAATCAGAGGCACTTAAAATGATGGCAGGCGTGTACTGACTCCTATTTAACATGATTTTGAATGTGATTGCTAATCCTGAACACAGCTACATCCCCATTTATAAGAGGGTGTGCACACTTATGCAACCACATTATTTTCGTTTTTTATGTTTACGCCCCCCCCCCCCCCCCTAAAAGATTTCAGTTTGTTTTACAGTTTATAGGTCACATTAAAAGGTGGAAATAGTTCTGAAATTATTTATCTTTGTCTAATTTTTTTTACATTACAGGAACCTAACATTTTAACAGGGGTGTGTAGACTTTTTATATCCACTGTATTAAGTTACATTAGTGTTACATTAAGAAAAGCTACTTCAATGCTCCAGCAAACAGAGACTTTTCAGACAGTTGTGCACTTCCAACATTGTAGCAACATTTTAGGAAAGGCCTTTTTCTGTTCCAGCATGACTGAGGCCCTGTACACAAAGCCAACTCCATAAAGACATAGTCTGATAATTATAGTGTGAAGGAACTGCACTAGGCCTGACCTCAACCCTACTAAACCTTTGGAATGAACTGGAATACCGATGGTGAGCCAGGTCTTTACATCCAACATTAGTACCTGACAATACAAATGTTCTTTTAGCTGAATGGTCATAAATTCCCAGAAACACACAACTAAATATTAATGGCCGTGTTTTTTTGGAATGGAATGTCCAACAAGTTTATATGGGTGTGATAATCAGATGTCTCAAATCTCTGGCCATATAGAATATTTGTCTGTATATTGATAGGCTGAAGTAATGCAGATTTAAATATGGCTGCCTGCACTGTAATTGGATGACAGCATCTGGTTTTCTACTCTAGGTGTTCATATTCATAACTTGAGCAAATATAAAAATGTGTTGCTTACCTTTTGTATCTTCACAATTATTTTAGTCTTTTCATTTTTACCCACGTAGTCAACAAGTTTCTTATTCCTCAGCAGCTCCTTCCCAGCCCACCACAACTGGGCCTCGGGTTCCCCAATAACCATCTGTCCAGCCTAGAAAACAACAACATATGGAGAAATTAACAAAAAATAATGGAACGTGAGAAAAACCAAACTGTCTGAGCCATAGGTATAGGTTCAGAACACTAAAGCCGGCCATACATGAATCGATTTGCAAAAGAAATTTCTTTAAAAAAATCTTTTCTAAAAATTTTTGTTTAAATCTGACACCATTAATGGGCCACAGCAACAGCTGATTTTTGAGTGGCCATCAAATTTGAGTGCTCAGGCATGTTGGAAATTTTTCGAAAAATCAACAAATTTCTAATCAATGATGGGAGAATCGTGTGAGAAATGTAATCACAAAAGAAATGAGAATGAGCTGTGATTTGGAAAGAAAAGAAAAAATTCTTGGCCACAAAACTTAGTTAAATTAAAGGCTTGGTTCTTGGCCACGAAAATTATTTTCTGTAGCAACATGAGGTGAAAGTAAAGGCTTGGTTGGTCAAATTTCGAAATCAATGGTGGCACCATCAGATTACAAAATGCAAGAAATTTCTGATTTTCTAAAGAAAATGTGTTTGGAATTCGACCCATGAATGGCCTGCATAAAGGTGTATCCACACTTGGGAATGCACCCTGCCTGCTCGTAGATGCGAGAACCCCAGCGGGGACTGCCACAATTAGCTGAAAATACGCAGCTCCATTGAAAGCAGTGGGAGGCTTATGTCTCCCACAGCTAATTGCACCCACTTGCATGTAATCTCTCATGCATCAATCACATGCAATTGATTGGCTCTGGAGATGGGCAGTCAGTGAATACATGTGAGTGGACACAATTAACTGTGGATACCAGTTGCCTTCCATTGCTTTCAATAGGTCTGCCTACTGCAGATAATGGTGAGACCTCCTGCGGGGTTCTCACATCTAAACTCCAGCAAGGGTGCTTTTGCAGGTGTGAATTCACAATAAATGGATACAAGAACATGAACTAACATATCCTATGATGTTAAAGCCAAGCCCTGGGCCACACATAGAAGTATTTCCTTACAGTTGTAGAAGACATGTCATGTCTTCCATGTGTACAGGTCAACATTCTTCTCTTTATAGTACCAAAGTAATGGTTAATGTGCTCTCCCCTCCTGTATGCAAGATCCCAGTGTCAGACCAACAGAAGAGCCCACAGAAAGAGTCACCAGTAGTTCAGCATGTTGCCCCTGCCTCTTACAATACTAATTCTGCTGTACAGAAAATTAACCACTTTACCCCCCCCCCCCCCCCTTCCTGACAGGCCATTTTTTGCGTTACGGCGATGCGTTACTTTAACTGACAATTGCGCGGTCATGCAATGCTGCACCCAAATGAAATTTATGTCCTTTTTTCCCCACAAATACAGCTTTCTTTCGGTGGTATTTGATCTCTCCTGTAAGTTTTTTTTTTAATTTGTGCTCTATAAACAAAAAAAGACTGACAATTTTGATAAAAAAAAATAAATTTTTTTGGACTTTTTGCTATTAAACATGTCCAGTAAAAAAACTTTTTAAAAATCAAATTTCGTCATAACTTTAGGCCAAAATGTATTCTGCGACATGTCTTTGCTTAAAAAAAAAAATCCCAATATATGTAAATTAATTGGTTTACGTGAAAGTTATAGCGTTTACAAATGGTGGTATAAATACTGGAATTTGTTTGGGTTTTTTTTACTAGTAATGGCGGCGATCAGTGACTTATAGCGGGACTGTGGCGGGCATTCTGACACTTGGGGGAACTGACCTGGTGTCACTGACATCCCCAGTGACACCAATACAGTGATCAGTGCTAATAAAAAGCACTGATGCTGTACTAATGGCACTGGGCAGGAAGGGGCTAAAATCTGGGGTGCTCAAAGGGTTAATTGTGTGCTGTTTCACTGTGCGCATTCCACTGTAAGCACACTGCCTTGTATGGCTCGTACGCGCCCCCTACCTGGAGCTGAAAAATCACGTGTTTTTATACACATGATTTTGCGCACCTGTGCTGTCCTGTAGCAGTATTTCTGCTATATGGCGGCACGGAGCTGGTTAAAGCGACCATAAATCAGTAATTTAATAACAGCTAGATTTTAAATAGATTTAGGCCTCATTCACATTTGTGTATGGGTCCAGCTATGATTTCCCGCTGGAAACAGCGGAGTTTCTTGCAAACAGCTACAGCAATAGTAATAAAAAATGATAAAGCGAGCGCTTCAAAATACTGTATCAAAAAGCAGCTTGCATAAGATTAACCCCTAAAATCCTAAACATAAATAATATAAGAGATACAGCGCTCTTAATATATAATATAGTGGAATAGTGACGTATAATACGCAATCTTATGCATTAATGGGTGAACAAGTGTTGTCTTTGATGAAGACAGTATTAAATAAAATGTGACATCATCTCATAATGACACATATCAAACAGCAGCAAATTGAATATATATGAAAGTCCTTGAAATATTCAATCAAGATGCGCCGATTTTCCCAGACAATTGTGCACGTGACTTCAGTGATATGAAGAAAGAGTTGTGCTTGCACTCCCCAGACGTATGATAATATCACGCATGTAATATAAGGGCACTAGTAGTCATCTGGGACCCAGTAGGCAAAAGGCACTCCAATGGTACTGGTTACAACCTGGGGAAGACCTCCAGACCTCTGGGTGGACCCTCTTAGTGGACGGGGACTGCCCTTTGTAGTTAGTACTCGGTATACGATGGACTCAGCAGAAACTCCACCTTTCAGTAGCTCAAAGTAAAGTCACCAAGACAAAGGGCTAATATAGTGTAGCAATTTATTATGCCAATGATGGTACACAAATTAGAGTAGCATACTGTGTTGATGTAATCTAACAACTGACAGTAGCCATAAGTAAACATAGGTGGGTAGCAAACAGCTACAAGCAGGTGGATAACAGCATAGGTATAGTCAGCAAATAGCATAGATATGGTCAGCATACAAGTATGGGCTACCATGCATGGAATTAAAAAAAAAAAAAAAAAAAAAAAACCCAAGATGGCTGCTGATCTAGCACATGGCTCTCAGCAGCTGACAGGGATATTCGGTGCGGCAAGCTAATACCCTGATGCATTTCGTGCAATAGCACATTGTCAAAGGGCTCTTTGACAATGTGCCATTGCACAAAACGCGTCAGAGTATTAGCTTGCCGCACCGAATATCCCTGTCAGCTGCTGAGAGCCATGTGCTAGATCAGCAGCCATCTTGGGTTTTTTTTTTTTTTTTTTTTTTTAATTCCATGCATGGTAGCCATATCTATGATATTTGTTGACTATACCTATGCTGTTATCCACCTGCTTGTAGCTATTTTGCTACCCACCTATGTTTACTTATGGCTACTGTCAGTTGTCAGATTACATCAACACAGTATGCTACTCCAATTTGTGTACCATCATTGGCATAATAAATTGCTACACTATATTAGCCCTTTGCCTTGGTGGCTTTACTTTGAGCTACTGAAAGGTGGAGTTTCTGCTGAGTCCATCGTATACCGAGTACTAACTACAGCGAGCAGTCCCCATCCACTAAGAGGGTCCACCCAGAGGTCTTCCCCAGGTTGTAACCAGTACCATTGGAGTGCCTTTTGCCTACCGGGTCCCAGATGACTACTAGTGCCCTTATATTACATTCGTAATATTATCATACGTCTGGGGAGTGCAAGCACCCTTCTTTTTCTTCATATCACTGAAGTCACGTGCACAATTGTTCGGGAAAATTCACGCATCTTGATTGAATATTTCAAAGACTTTCATATATATTCAATTTGCTGCTGTTTGATATGTCATTATGAGATGATCTCACATTTTATTTAATACTGTCTTCATCAAAGACATCACTAATATTTTCACCCATTAATGCATAAGATTGCGTATTAAACGTCACTATTCCACTATATTATATATTTAAGAGCTCTGCATCTTTTATATTATAGCTGCAGCAATAGGCATGGATTTAATTTTCCCACTGGAGGCTCCTGTGAACATCTGCAGGCAGGAAGCCCTGTTGAATCCAATGGGTGGCTGAGAGCACCTGCAGCCATTTGAATGTAAATCATACAGGAAGACTGGATGATCAGCCCTTGGTGCCCTCTGCAGAAAATCGTAGTCGGCCCCATACACAAGTGTGAATGGGGACTTTTGTCTGTTTTGCCACGCTGTTTCAGATTATCGTACTTTTTACATTTATTGAGAGCGTACAAAGTTACACTATATTCAGGACTGTGTACTGTGACCAAGAAGCTGCAGGACATTAGCATCAAGATGTAGCACAGAATGAAAAAAAAAAATAAAAAGATAAAAATACGTATTTTATTGAATAAATGGCAGTTTATGACACAATGCTTTGGCAAACTAAATATAACTCAGTTCAAGCATCTACTTTAACACTATTCACCCTGGTTATGATGATAGGAAATGATTCATGGCAAAAATAATTTCACAGTATGAGGTGTGATAATTTAAAACCAAGGAACCCCCATGGCGTAGCGCTGTGGTGGTGAGTCACAGAGCCAGTCTTTACGGAGAAGTAGAAGAAATAATAAGTGTGTGCATGCGCTGTTAGTGGAGAATGAGTGACAGGAATCTGGAGCAGCTAATTAACATCAAATTTAGGCTGATGGTGAACATTTCATGAAGAAATCAAGTGTTTTTGGATGGCATAGGCGGTTTGAGCAGGGATCAGAGGGTGTCCACAATGATGCAAGAAGTGAGTGGCCAAGAACGCAAAGATCGGATGCAAATGTGGAAAATGAAAAGGTTACGGGAATCCATTCGGAAGAAAAGACTGGAATCCTGGCCTGACAAGTGGATTCTCCACCACAACAATGCTCCAGCACATGATGTGTTCAGTGTTGGCGTGTTCCTCGCCCAGAAATCCATTCCAAAACTTGACCAACCACCTATGTCCCCCGACTTATCACCCTGCAACTTTTGGTTGTTTCCTAAATTAAAAAATGCCCTAAAACGAGTTCATCTTTAGGAATAAGTTACGTGTTCCACCCGTTTTTTAGGGTGCGACATGTACAATGTTCCTACTCCTGCAGCCACTCCCTGAATCCTTCACTCTCTGTGACAGAGGACCAGGAATCTTCTACCTGCACGTGCTGTCACTATTTGAAAAGAGCACAGCCATGCGGGGCTCGCCCACACGGTCACGTCATTCACAGAGTTCTGCAACTGACAGCCTTTGCGGTGTAGTTCTCAAACTACCAGGGCACTGTTGAGTGCTCTATAGGTAGTTCATTGATACTTCCTGTCCTTGTGTAACTGCCTGCCATTACAAGGTACCAGCACACAAATACACTGACAATCTGCAGGAGCCATGCAATGCACCTGGGATCTGCTGATCGCTGGTGCAATACTTTCCAGGCTCCTACAAAAAAAAAAAACAAACATTATATATATATATATACACACACACACACACACACACACACACACACACTTGTGTTCAAAATAATAGCAGTGTGTTGAAAAAAATGAATAAAGCTCAAAATCCTTCTAATAGCTTTTATTTCCATACACACAAATGCATTGGGAACACAACACATTCTATTCCAAATCAAAACATGAAGAAAAATAGATCAAATTTGTGTTGTTCCTCTAAATAAAATTGAAGAAAAGTGAATATTAGACTGTTCAAAAAAAATAGCAGTGTTTGTATTCTTCTTTACAAACTGGAAGATTTTGCTTTCCTTTGAATCACTTAATGAATATTTGGTTGTAGTCGCACTGTTTCTGAGAACTGCTGTACATCTGTGTTGCATGGAGTCAACCAACTTCTGGCCCCTGTGAACAGGTATTCCAGCCCAGGATGATTGGACTACATTCCACAGTTCTTCTCTATTTCTTGGTTTTGCCTCAGAAACTGCATTTTTGATGTCACCCCACAAGTTTTCAATTGGATTAAGATCCAGGGATTGGGCTGGCCACTCCATAACGTCAATCTTGTTGGTCTGGAACCAAGATGTTGCACGTTTACTGGTGTGTTTGGGGTCGTTGTCTTGTTGGAACACCCATTTCAAGGGCATTTCCTCTTCAGCATAAGGCAGCATGACCTCTTCAAGTATTCTGATGTATTCAAACTGATCCATGATCCCTGGTATGCGATAAATAGGCCCAACACCGTAGTATGAGAAACATCCCCATATCATGATGTTTGCACCACCATGCTTCACTGTCTTCACAGTGTACTGTGGCTTGAATTCAGTGTTTGGGGGTCGTCTGACAAACTGTCTCCGGCCACTAGACCCAAAAAGAACAATCTTACTTTCATCAGTCCACAAAATGTTGCGCCATTTCTCTTTAGGCCAGTCAATGTGCTCTTTTGACAAATTGTAACCTCTTCAGCACGTCTTTTTTTCAACAGTGGGACTTTGCGGGGGCTTCTTGCAGATAGCTTGGCTTCACATAGGCGTCTTCTAATTGTAACAGTACTCACAGGGAACTTTACACCTTCTTTCATCTTCCTGGAGCTGATTGTTGGCCGAGTCCTTGCCATTTTGGCTATTCTTCTATCCATTCGAATGGTAGTGTTTCGCTTTCTTCCACGTCTTTCAGGTTTTGGTTGCCATTTTAAAGCATTTGCGATCATTTTAGTTGAGCAGCCTATCATTTTCTGCACTTCTTTATATGTTTTCCCCTCTCCAATCAACTTTTTAATCAAGGTACGCTGTTCTTCTGAACAATGTCTGGAACGACCCATTTTCCTCAGAATTTCAGAGAGAAATGCACTGTAACCAGCATGTACAACATTTGCTGCCTTCCTTCCTTAAATAAGGGCAATAATTGCCACCTGTTTTTCAAAGAATGAATGACCTCACTAATAGAACTCCACACTGCTATTATTTTGAACATGCCCCTTTCAATTAGTGATTCAATTACACAGAATCAGCAGCATGCATGTCATGACTGTTGGGTCTGTTGGATTTCTATGACTCTACTACACCTGCTAATAAATTATCTGCCATGTAGAAATATCATTTCTACCAAAAACAGTGATCAGGTTAGTGATGTCTGACTGCTATTATTTTGAACACAACTATATATATATATATATATATATATATATATATATATATATATATATATATATATATATATATATATAGTGAACTTATCCTTTGATAAAGATATTGCACAGCGTTCTGGAAAATGAATTCTATGAATGTTTTCGGCAGTGGCACAGTCCTCTATATAAGTGTGTTCCTTCAAAAGGGAACAGACTTTGCAGGTGACAGCAGTCTTTTTTTTTTTTTTTTTTTTTCACAGTCCACTCCATGAATTAAATTGTCACGCCTCACATACTAATAGAAAATATTAGATTCCTGGGACTATCATAGAATATCAAAATCATGAACATGAAGCAGTCTACAGTTGGTTTGACTTGAAGATCTCAGATTTGGTGAAGCTTTAGGCTGGTTGCCACCATGACACGATGCATATCTACAGATCATGACCTTCAAGATGTGCTGAGCATCTTAATTTACAAATACAAAACACATCAAACACAGTAAAACTAAACAGAACCCAACATGAATGTGTGAGGAGTCACAAAGGAAAGGCAGGCAAACGTCAAGAAGACCAAGGAAACAGTCTGGAGCTTAGTCCAAAGACAACACATAGATCAGGCATGGGTCAGAGAGGACAAAGCACACCAGTGACATGGGAGAAGATGAATATGTAAGGCCGATTCAAGGAACAATATTTGATCACTGGCCGTGTCTTTCTCAGGCCTCCCCTTCCCATCATACATTGTCCTGCCAACAATGATGAGGACAAATATGGGAACTGGTCTGTCTCATACCATCATCTAGAGAAAGATCAATTGGATGGCATATTTACAAGTACCAAGTAAAGATTATAAAGAATGTCTGAACGAGAAATTCCATTTCACCAAACAAAAGAATGGCTCAACTCTTGGTTCAGCTTAGCAGCGATTTTTATTTTAGGAATGTTCTAGCATGACCACACAAGAGGTTTCCTCCGCCATTACGTCTTGGCACAGATCTAAAAGGATCCGCAATGTTAAATTTTAGGTGCAGCCAAAAATTGTGTATAAAGTTTTAGATGCAGTAGAGGTAGGTTAAAGCCGTTGAAAAATGGTGCAGAATTTTGTGCACAAAATGTATGAATAATATATTGATATTTTTTTCAATGAAATCAGGTACCTAAATTTGACTTGGTATTAGATTCTTGCAGCCTCTGTACATAAGAGCTGACTGCGAGAGGGAAAAACAGGACTGGGAAGCAATCAGGTCTGCTGCATGCAAATGTACTGACAAAGGGGGGTGTGCTGATAGAAGGAGAGAGCACGGTGACTGGCTCCTGCCAGCTGAATTTTTTATGCCTTTTAAATTATATAAGCCTACATTTTCCAAATGTCTTAAGGCGAGTCATGTGATTGAGCTGGGTGCTCTTTCAGCGATTAACAGTTTTGATACAGAAATATGACAATTGCACGGTCATGCAACACTGTACCCATATGAATTTTTTAGCATTTATTTTGGTGGTATTTATTCACCACTGGGATTTTTATTTTTTTGCTATATAAATGAAAAAGCCAAAAAATTTGAAAAAAAAAAGTGTTTTCTTATACAATTTTGCAAATAAATAAGCTTTCTTCATAAATCTTGGCCAAAATGTATTCAGTTATCTTTTTAGTAAAAAAAAAAAAAAAAAAAAATAACCCAAATTAGTTTATAACCAAAAATTATAATTTTTAAATTTTTTTTGTACATTTTTATTTTTTTTCTCTATTATTATATATTTTTTTTTTACATACTGTCACCCTAGCAGTACAGTGTCACCATAGTGACACAGTACTACTTGTGTGGGGTGATGAAGATTTTTTTTTTTTTTACACCGATTGCTTTTACACCCATAAAGGCTGTAAAAGCAATCATTTCTCCTTCTCTCTCCTTCTCTCCCTCTATGATTTGCTCCCTTTTGGTCTGTTAAATTTACCATTAAAAGTGTTATGTTATACCAATAATTCTTTCAGAAATCTAGGGCTTTCGTAACTTTCTGTAGCAAACTGACAAAACAATGCCTCCACTGCACAGTAGTGTTATCAGTCCTGCCCAGTTCCCCTCTGCTGTACTACAGAACCTCTACCACTCCTGTTATGGAGAGGAGAGGGAGAGGCGTTTTCTAGTCCTAAAACACTTCTTGTTCCTTTATAGGTCCAGTCCAGTGAGTGAGAGTTGACGTGTTAGGATGTGAAGAGTTTTACTGGCAGGATTACCAGGCACAAATAAAGAATATAAAAGCCTGAAAAAAGAGAACTAAAGCAGCCACTTCATCTAAGAACTAGTAAGCTGCAATATATTACATTTTTGTTCTTGGGTTTACATACACCTAAATCCGTCTTCCTATATGTGCTTACTTTCCATTGCTGCATCTTAAGCTGTTCATACACAGATTGAAATTTGTCCCGTTAAGCAGGGACTGGCCTAATTTCGATCAGTGTGTAGCATTCCCACATGGGATATATTCAAAAACGCTCCATGATCAGTGGCTGCAGCTGTTGATCTTTGTATTCTGACAGCAGCGGGTGCCACTGTCAGAATACAATGATACAATGTGTTGGAGCAGGGAAAGGGGGAGGGATATGGGGATGGATTCTCCATCCACCTTGTTTGTGTGGATATAGGAATTATTTGTTCAGCCCGCTGGCTGAATGGAAACAAATAAAAAAAAACAAAAAAAAACAAATAATGAACAGTGTGTGAACAGCTCTGAAAAACAAGACTAAGACACCAACATTTGGTACATTTGCCTATTAAAAAAAAAAAAAAAAAAAAAAAGCACTGCTAAAGACTGCTGATCAGTCAGAGAAGCCAAGACAATGGAAGAGGAGGTATTATACCTGAGTCCCAGAGAGGTCCTCGTTATTTTCAAACTCCATCCTGATTGGATCATGTGGAGGTAATCCCATGGGATACACAATCATTACGGCACCGCGGAGCTGATCCAAAGCATCTTTTACCATGTCCATTGCTACACACACATTGGCCTCCGCTTGTTTCTACACAAAGAGATGACTTTTTACAGTTGCTTTTCAGTTTATGCCAAACACATATTACAATATAGTTGCAATCTTTGTCATCATGTTCTGACAACACTCATACAAATAGAGATCACTACAGATGTGACAATCAGGCTTTAGAGTCATTCTAAAGGTTTTTTTTTTTTTTTAAATAACAAACATATCATACTAATGGTTTTGTCCAGAGCAGCCCTGATCCTCTTCTTCTCGGGTCCCCTGCCACTACTCCTGGCTCCTCCCCCTTGACCAGTGCCCCTAATAGCAAGCCACTTCCTATGGGAGCACTGGTGCATGCTCGATCCAGAGCTCCACTCTATGCATCCATCAGACACACAGAGCTGTGGCTCAGCTCAGTCCACTGGTCTCTCCTCATTGGCTAACTGGCTGTGATTGACAGTAGTGGGAGACGATGGCTCCTGCTGCTGTGTCTCAGCCAATGAGGAGAGAGACACTCAGGACAGCTGAGGCTCCTGTGCACATTGCTGAATCGATAGGCGGCTCAGGTGAGTAATGGGGAGGGCGTGCGCGTGCGTGCGTGTGTAGGTGAAAAAACCTTCAACCTTTACAACCACTTTAAAGGTGAACCCTAGGCGCATATAAAATACACCAAAGGTATTCGGCAGCTTGGTTAGTTGGGATGCTTTGGTTTTTTTTACTGTTTTTTTGCAGGGAGTCATTTTATTCACCATTTGATTTCAGCAACAGAATCTGCATAATATTGTGAAGACAAGGTTACCTTTGATATTAAGGCTTTTGCTTCCTCCATTGTCTTTTGCAACACCGTCTTCATACTGTCATTAGGTGCTAAAAAAAAATAAGATAAAATAGTGTATGACATTATATGGATTACCAATACCATCTTTTGTCTTGCTGCTACTTATATTACAAGAGGATCCTTATTTTCCTTGCTTCTAAACAGGAAGATTACAGGAGGGAGAACGCAAATTCAGCTTTGGCGGCACCCTGCATATAAACAAATGCACTCCAGCAAGTAAACAATGTACCAGCAGGGAGTTTTAAGTCTTTGTGGCAGATCATTAATGCAAGAATCCAACTGCTTTCTAGGAATAAACGCAGAATTAAAAACTTCAGGTACATGAATTAACCTCTATTTTTTTTGCCCAATCCTTTTTTAATTTCTCTCGAATGTTTCCAGATTTCTGAAATATTGGTGACTGTCCTGAGTTGATCCCAGAGACAGGTTAGATCATTTTTCTTGGTCCCACCTTTTCCATTCCTGAACCTCCTCTCTCTTCCCCCCTCCGTTACATTGTGATCTAGTACTCTTTTACAGAGCACAGCTCCCCAGTTGCTTGACCATTTCGCTAACACTTTGCATTCAATTCCGTACTTGGTTCTCTTTTATGAGTCATGGTTTTTATTTCTATACCTGTTGGTTTAGGATTATTACACTCTACAGGGGTGTGGACATTTTTTTAAAAACTACTTGTCCAGGGGCTAAATTGGTGTCCCAATCTACTTGTCCAGATACAAAAAAAAAAAAAAAAATTAACCAAAACCCTATTTAAATCTGAGGTGCTTTATGGAATGTCGGGGCTTTTAAAAACAAAAAGGGGCTTTATGGCGACTTAAACATTTAATATTATTAACATGGCACTGTTTATCTCCTCCCCACCCTACCTGTCGCCAGCACCGCACCTGGGGACTAGCAGAGAGAGGAGAGACCTTGCAGTGTAATGAGCATTGATTGGGTGCTCTTCAGGCAAGGGGAGTCTCGGGCTTATCCTTTATCCCTTTCGCTGCCAGAGCCAATTTTGCGTTTTTTTTTTGCACACGTTTAAAAAATAATTTAAGGCCTGAAGATTACACAAAACTGCAAAACATGATATATTTTCTTAAAGCAAAGACCCTAGAGAATAGAATAACGGTAGTTCCAATTTTTTATGTCACACGATATGATCACAAAGGACTAGGAAATGCAAAATTTCAGTAAAAAATACACTTAAGTTAATTTTAGGGCACAAAAGGCAATAAATTATCACATTTTTTGTAAAATATAAAAGAGGAGTAAATAGATATCCAACATGTCAAACCTTAAATTTGCATGCGCTTGTGAAACGGAAACAAACTTTTGTACCCTATATTTTATATAGGTGCTGCTTTTAAAGCCCCTTACAGATCAGTTTAGCATTACAGAGGAGGTCTGGTGCTAGAATTATTGCTCTCATTCTGGCGTGCGCAGCGATATGTAACATGTATCGCAATCGTTGTTTTTATGTGTAGGCACCCCAGCGCATGCTTTTACGTTTGTGTGTGCGTACATATGTGGGGGTGGAGGGCCTTGAAAAATTTTGGGAGTGGTTATATGCTTGGCTGTAACTTACATTTATAAAAAAATTTAAAAAATAATTTTTTTGCACTTAACTTTCTTTTTTTTTTAATCACATAGGGGGACAAAAAGTCCCCTATGTGATGATTTTGGTCACAGGTTCTCTTTTTTGAGACATTCAGGGTCTAAAAGACCCTGCATTTCTCCCCTGTGCTCCACTGAATGTATTGCAGTGCACATTGCACCGCATGACTGGTCTCGGGCTCACAGAAGGGCAAGCAAAGCCTAAGACATATAGCGGACAGGAGGGCAGCGGCTGGCACTGTGGGCTATGTGGAAGCAATCGGGTGGCATCGCTGCCGCCCGAATGCTTCCACCTGACAGATGAGCCCAGCTGCTTGCTCACAGCAGGGCTAAAGCCAAAAAAAAAAAAACAAACTACCCGCCCGGAACTACATGTCCCAGGCGTCGGACAATATGAATTGCATATCCTTGCCTCTACCATGTTGAGATGTTTATGTATCTTCTATCCCTGGCATTATTCTTCTATGTCAAGTACAACAGTTTTCTAGTATATTATTGTGTGGCCATGATTTACTTCTACAGTGAAAGGATATGGAATGCCAGATATAAAATCTTATGTTCACATTCAGAAAGGGAATGCTACTAAAATGAGATGACATCATTACCATCCATTGCGTCTTCCAATCTCATCCTTTTTGAAGACACTCCCTCCACTGGGCACGCATTTAGCTTCAAATTCATCCTTTAGTTTCAGATCTTCAATCTGCTCATCAGCCAATCCCTGCATATTAGGGGGCAGAGAAATGCCATGTTCTGCCAACTCCTCCATCTCTATACAGGGAAAAAAGGCAGAGTATAAATACAATTTGCAGCAGAGATGTTTTTTTACATTCTCCATCTTCATGTGGGTCCTAGTGACTACAAGCTTTACTCCAACCAAAGCAAAAACAGTAGTTTTAGTGCCCTGTAACACTGCTGTGCTAAAAAGCACCTTTCCAGTGCGACAAAAGCACATCAAAAGTACTGTATTTCCCTTAAAATCCTATATTATTATTATACAGTATTTATAAAGCGCCAATAGTTCGCTCAGCGCTGTACATTACAAAGGGGGACAGAACATGTGACAGAACAATACCAATACAATGCAGAACATGAGGGGATTGAGGGCCCTGCTCTTTCGAGCTTACAATCTAGGAGAGAGGGGATGGTGGTACAGGAGGAGATAGGTGTGGGGGATGGAGTGGTAGGAAGAGTGGAGGAGGTCGACAAGTTAGCAGGGGGTGGGGTAGGCTTCCCTGAAGAGATGGGTTTTCAGGGTGCGCCTAAAGGAGAGGAGAGTAGGTGATAATCTGATGGGTTGGGGCAGGGAGTTCCAGAGGATGGGTGACACCCTGGAGAAGTCCTGGAGGCGTGCATGGGAGGAGGAGACCAGGGAACTAGAGAGAAGGAGGTCTTGTGAGGAGCGGAGTGTGCGTGCTGGGCGGTACTTGGATATTAGGTCAGTGATGTAGTTCGGGGCAGTATGGTGGACAGCTTTGTACGTCAATGTTAGGATTTTGAATTTGATCCATTGCGCAATCGGAAGCCAGTGGAGGGATTGGCAGAGGGGGGTGGCGGAGATGGAGCGGTTGGAAAGGTGAATGAGTCTGGCAGCCGTATTCAGGATGGACTGAAGCGGGGATAGCCAGCGGAGAGGCAGGCCAGTAAGGAGGGAGTTGCGAGTTTTTCAAATCGCTGCACTGCATTTGTGCTGCAGTTTGAAAAATCTTGCATGTCCCACATATTTGTTTCTTGTGGCACCGTGTGGCCATATTGTTCGATCCTTGAAACCTAGTTCGTTATAAGTCAGGAATGCACCCACATTTTTTGATAATTGCCATTTCTAGGCGTAAACAATTTTCATTTACGTGCGACTGTACAAGGCCTCCTGCGTGGGTGGTTCTCGCGTTATTTCTTTCAATAAAAAAATATTGTACCAGAAAAGTCTTGAATTCTGCATCTTTGGCACACTTTTCAAACGTGCACCAAAATACACCTTCCATTGTAAGTCAATAAAAAAGCACCAAGGGTTCACAGTTTAAAGGTTTTCAGGGTCACATGACACTTTTTTTTTTTTTTTTTAAGATGTTGGTTGTTAAGGAGCTGGTACACACCAGCATCCTTAACAACCAGCGCATAGCTACACATACATTGCCAACCCCCCCCCCCTTTCCCCCATGGTGGGCACTCTCTGGCTCTTACTGCTAAATCTCTTCAGGTTTAGGGGAGCTGGTCTGACCTCCACTATGCCTCCTCTAACATTCAGCTGTACTGTCCAGTCTTCCCCGCTGCTCCATCCTCCAAAGTGTCCAGTGGTAGTGATGGAACACTCTGCAGCTCCCTTCACAGCCTGGCACAGTGTTCCCATCGCCCTCCCCATCTCACACTGAGTATCCAGAGCAGACACGAGACTGACCTCTCAGCACCACCTGGGTACAGATTATTGGAACAAATGACTGAGCAGAGAGGAGCTAGGGGTGACTACCATGGAGATAGGTGTGGCACTCTATGTGTAGCCAAGTAGCCGGAACCCAACAGCATCCTTAACAACTAGTGAATAACAGAGCTGACACCCACCAGTGTCCTTTACAACCAATGAATAGCTGGTTGTTAAGTAGCCGTAACCCGAAGGCATCCTTAACAATCAGCATTTAAAATGTGTGAACCATTTTTTAAAACACATAGCAGGTTTTAGAAGCGCAGCATGAAAGCAGCCTTAGGAGAAGTATTGAGATTTTATCCAAGTTGGAAAATTATCCTCACCGACACCTCTATCCCCCGTCTAGTGTGAAAAGGTCATATGACACCAAGTTATAATGTCTCACTGCGGAAGAAGACCAGCAGAAGATACAAGACTCAACAAGCACCCCTGTGCTCCAGCATTGCAGACAGCCAGTGAAAGGTAAAATCAGGGGACATTTAAGCAGGGCATTAAGTAAATGGGAAAAGTCTCCTCTAGTGGGTATTTACATTGGGCAGGAGCTTGCATCAGGTACAAAATTCAAATGCATAAGTAAACTGAACAGTAGTTGAACGGGCAGCACAGTGGCTAAATGGGCAGCACTTCTGACAGGGGTTGTTGGTTCGAATCCCAATCACGGCACCACCTGCCTGGAGTTTGTATGTTCTCCCTGTGCCTGCGTGGGTTTCCTCTGGAGACTCGGGTTTCCTCCCGCACTTTAAAGACATGATGGTAGGTTTATTGGCTCCTGTCTAAATTGGCCCTAGTATGTGTATGAATGTGAGTTAGGGACCATAGATTGTACGCCCCTTGAGGGTTAGGGACTGATGAGAATGTACAATATATATGTAAAGCGCTGCGTAAATTGACAGCGCTATATAAGTACCTGAAATAAAATAAATAAAATAAACAGCTCACTATACCATACTGTACAATAAACAGTGAGCCTTTTCTATTTTACAAGGCAGCCTGAAGTAAGAAAACATGAAAACTCAAAGCAACAAATAGGTTAGTGATCTGCCTAGTGTTTTTATAAAGGGAGAAGTGTTTGCTCAGTTTTTATCTTAAAGTAGAACAATAAGCAAAACTTTTTTTTTCTCATTTTTGATAGAGCAAGGGAGGATTATAACCCCTGTTAGATTATATTTTATGGCTGTAAGCCATAATCATCACAATTCTGACAAATCACGGCTTGAACTATCTTGCTTTGCATGTAATGAGTCTATCTCATATATTAGTTTCACCTTTTAAGTTGCATTACTGAAACAAATGAACTTTTGCACGATATTCTAATTTTTCGAGTTTCACCTGTATATATTGTTTCTTTGATAGCTATGAGGCCCTTCTTACCTGAACAAATCCTGCTAACTTTAAGCCTGCCATTGTAAATGACTACAATATCTTTCACCAAGTCATCCACAGGAACACTGACAGTCGTATCGAAGAGGAACTGGCTCTCATCGCCGTGTTTCACATGTAGGCGCACCATATCTGCAATGATAAGCACAGTCAGATGAAACATAGGTTCGTCTTATAGTATCTACACAGTTTTGAAAAAAAACAACGTAGAAATATAGTTATAGTGAACGCTTGGACTCTCTCCTTCCTCATTGGCTCAGACACAGCAATGGCTGTCAATCACAGCCCGTGAAGCAGAAGCGGGGGGGGGGGGGGGGGGGGCAGGGGCAAGCCATGTTCTGCATGTCTATGGATTCACACAGCCGGCTCGGCAGTGACGTAGCAAAGGTGGGCACTTGGTGTGGAAGGCAAGAGTGCTGGCAGGGGACCCCAGAAGAGGAGGTCTGAGGCTGCTCTGTACCATTACAGAGCAGGTAAGTGTGACATGTTTGTTATTTTTTTTAAATAACCCTTTACAATCACTAACTCACCATAGCAGCATTTTCTTTCTTGTCCTCCCCCTCTTACAAAAAACGTAAAAAAAAAAAAAAAAAAAAAAAAAACCAACTAGGATGCCCATACCTTACAAATTGCGGCATTTGTGCACCACCGGTGTCATGTTTCACATGACTGTCATATGCATTTAAGTGTTCTTTGTATTTTTTCTCTGCTCCTCCTCCCTTTCCTTTGGTTTAGTTCATGCTGTATAGATAGCCCCACCCCTTTTATTCTTTTCCCAGTAATGCATTGCAGCTTCTAGCCTCATGTCTTATGGAGTAGATCACATTATGATCTTTTGACCTATCAGATGTTCATTGTTGTAAGATTCTCTCAGTTTATGGAATACACTTCACAAGATCTACAAGGTGTTGTCTGGATCGCGTCACTGCCTGTGTTATTCAACTAAGATTGGAGTTATCGCTATCTCATCCCAACTGCAAGTTACAGAGATCACACTTTCAATGCTTAGACTGGAGACAGAACAAGCGGCCTCTCCCGGGAACCAAACACCTGGCAGTAAACGGCGCTGTATCTGCGCAAGCGATGGACCGTGCAAGATGGCGGCACAGGAGGGAACAAATGCAGCGGTGAAGTTCTGCTATAAAGCCCCAACACAACACTCCAAGCCCCCTAACCGCCTAGTGAAGGCCAGCAGTAAAGGGTTAACAGGGCTTCCTTGCTATCACAAGGACATGCCCTTCCCTGGTTGCCATGGAAACTCCTCCAAAACAACAACCGTGCTGTGTTAGAATTCTTCCTGGCACGGTGTATAGAAATGAATATTGTGCTGACTGCCAAGAGGGAGCCGCCACGTGTGTCTTTCCTCTGGCAGGACAGAGTCAGCGATCTGAGGCCGTCTGGGTATTAAGACAAGGAACAGATCTCTCCCTGCACACGGGGTCACCGTACAATGAGAGCACAGAGATGGACACACGGGGTACTCACCTGATGATCAACGAGCCCTTCCGCAACACAAGCCCAGCTGTGCTGTAGACACGCCCCCGTCTCCTAGCACACCGCAGTAAACATCCGGCGTGCCGCCGTCCTGCAAAACACACGACGTACAACGGAACTCTCAGACACACCCCCTCCCGCTGATTGGCCCGACCTCTAGAGTGTAGCACGTGACTGTGTTGTTATTCTGATGATCTGGGCAGGAGAGGAGCCGCTATCGCCCCCTGCTGGGTGTATTCTCCTTCGGCTTCATGCAGATGCTCTCTGTCACACTGGGGGGGGGGGGGGGGGATGCGCTGGAACTGGAGCTGGCACAAGCTGTGCATAGTAACCAATCAGCTTCTGGATTCCATTTACAAAGATTAACTGAACACGCTGATTGGTTACTGTGCACAGCTGCTCCAGTCTGAGTATAACCCCTCCCCCATTTTGTGTTTTCTCTCCTCTGATTGCATCTCTGTTCTATTTCATTACTGCACAGTAGCTCTGCCCCTTGTTGGGGTCTATTTGCTAAGGCCCCTTTCACGTGGGCGTTTCCTATGTCCGATTTTCATCTCTCCATTTATGGATGAAAAAAACGGACACCCATGTATTTCTATGGACTAGTGGATGTAAAAGGATGATCACCTGTTTACATCCATTAATGTCAGCATCTGACAACATCTGTTTTTTGAACGGAATAAAACCCTATTTTTTCTTCCATAAAAAAAAATGAAATGGATGAAAAACGGATGTGAACTGATCTGTTTTTTCTTGGAAAAAATCGTAACTGAACTGATGAAAAAACGGAACGCCCGTGTGAAGGGGCCTAATGCTGGAGAGTGCAAAATCAGGGTCACTTCTGCATAGGAAGCAATCAACTTCTACCTACAGCTTGTTCAATTAAGGTCGGCAATAAATCCTGGAAGCTGATTGGTTTCTATGCAGAAGTGAGCCTGATTTTGAACTCTCCAGCTTTAGAAAATAAATCCCATTGTGTTCTCCTCTTCATCACTCTGTACCTTGTTACATTGTATCCTCTCCATCACTTGTCTACCACCTCTCGATCCGGGCACCTTGTTACATTGTATCCTCTCCATCTCTTGTCTACCACCTCTCGATCTGGGCACCTTGTTACATTGTATCCTCTCCATCTCTTGTCTACCACCTCTCGATCCGGGCACCTTGTTACATTGTATCCTCCTCCCCATCGCTCCGCACCTTGTTATATTGTATCCTCCTCCCCATCGCTCCGCACCTTGTTACACTGTATCCTCCTCCCCATCGCTCCGCACCTTGTTACACTGTATCCTCCTCCCCATCGCTCCGCACCTTGTTACACTGTATCCTCCTCCCCATCGCTCCGCACCTTGTTACACTGTATCCTCCTCCCCATCGCTCCGCACCTTGTTACACTGTATCCTCCTCCCCATCGCTCCGCACCTTGTTACACTGTAGCCTCCTCTCCATTGCTCCGTACCTTGTTACATTGTATCCTTCTCTCCCTCACCCTGCACCTTGTTACACTGTATCCTCCTCCCCATCGCTCCGCACCTTGTTACACTGTATCCTCCTCTCCATTGCTCCGCACCTTGTTACATTGTATCCTTCTCTCCCTCACCCTGCACCTTGTTACATTGTATCCACCTCACCATCGCCCTGCATCTTGTTTCACAAAAAGCTTTATTGGATCTGTTTAAAGTTTTTTTATTTTTTTACAGGGTGAACAGGCGACACAAAAGTATTATACAAAATAGGATGTACAGCAGAGGCGAGGATACTGACGTCTGCTGGAGTGTTACAGTGGCAATCGTAGGAGGTGACAAAATATTACAGTCAGAACACCAAGGGTGTGATTGATGTCTTCAAGGAAGGAGATAATAGCTATGTTGTAGGGGGTGCTCTGCGTCAGCAGGTAGGAATGCCTCCAGGGCAGAGAGGGGCACCAATTAGACTAAAGGCATAATGTTAGGGTAAGAAGGAGAGAATAGTCAATCATAGGCAACAAGGAAAGAAAAAAGTGGAAGGCTGAGGATAAAGGAAGCCAGAAAGGATAGTTGCCTGGGTTAAGGAGGAGAGGAAGGAAAAGGGGAAGGGAAGGCTAAGCAGAAGACAGTCCCATGTGGGCAGCAATTGTCCTCATACCAAAAGTAGGGTTCTGTCAATGTTCAGTTGTGCATTATAAGAAATCAAAGGATCCTAGACCTTCCAAAATGTATTGTAAGTGTCCTCCAGGATGGAAGTGAGCTTCTCGTGGACTATAGTCTCCATGGACCTCTGCAAAGTTGAGAAACACTTATCCTCAGGCCCTAGACAATGTCTACTGAGCTGCCAAGAAACACAAATCCCACCGGCTTTCTCTGAACGTTTGTGAGGGTAGGGATTGGTGTATGTAATCGGGCTTCTCAAGGGTCATGGGCCAAAGAGATATTGAATACTGACCTGATCACAGTGTAAACCTCATTAATACTCTGACCTGATCACAGTGTAAACCTCATTAATACTCTGACCTGATCACAGTGTAAACCTCATTAATACTCTGTCATCCAGTTCTCATCGCTTCTTTACTTTTAACTCTCTACTTAAACACCACCACCTCCACATAGTAACTCACTCACTGCTCCTGAGATTGCCAATCACCTCAAAAACAAAATTGATGCAATTCATGGGGACATCTCCACTGCACAAAATAATGAAAGAAAACCTCCTGCGCTGAGAATGGATGAACCCTACAAAAGCAGCTGCCACCTAAACTTTAACCACAAAGTAAATGATAATTACATACAATAATAATGGTGTAGCGCTAAATATATTAATTAAAACATACGTGAGCATGAAAAACATATACAATCACAAACTGAACTAGTGATTCCCCCACATATATATCCCCAATCGGGGGGACCAATAATTAGTGAAGTGAGTGATTCCTCACAGGGGAACACAATAAATAGCACATGTGAAGAAAAGTGTCCAAATGCAATGCATCATGCTATATTGTAGTCCATATTAGCAATTCCAAGGTGCGAGAATTTCCTGCACACACATGTGAATGTAACCACAGACAATAGGTGCCGCACACTGTGATGTGATATCCGTAAGTGGCCAAAGTGCCTCCTCACCTCCTTTATGTGACCACAAGGGCCTACTCGCTTAGTGGAATAACCACATCAGTCAATAGATAACCACGTCTCCAGATGTACCCTCCTGGATGCCTGGTAGCCTCCAATGTTCTGGATCACTCTCCTGTAACCTGGCACTCACATGTATCCGCTTTCCACCATAGGGTCATAAACATAAAAAAATTAATGGGGACATCTCCACTGCACAGATATCTATCCCACTTAACATACCCTGTACAAAACCATCCTCAATGCTTTCCTCTTTTGACCTTGCTACTACTAAAGAGGTTGCTAAAGTTCTTTCAGAAGCCCACCTAACATGTCCACTGGACCCCATTCCTTCACAACTACTATGGTCATCCTCCTCTTCTATCCTATGCTCCCTCCCTCTTCAATTTTCCTCATCTACTGGAACCTTCCCCTCCCCTCTAAAATGTGGACTAATTACCACTATACTTAAAAAGCCCTCACTGACCCCACCAGCCTGGACAACTAAAGGCCCATCTCCTTGCTCATATTTGCCTTTAAACTTTTAGAA